TTAGTGTTCTGTCTGATGACAGGTCCATATGAACAGGATCCTTCGATTCTTTTCTCGGACTGGGACCTGTTCATATCCGTTCTTGGCAGATGATCCAGAAGTGGTTTGCCCTTGCCTTCTTCTGTGTGTGAATGGAGTAATTGTTGGGATGCCACGGAGGAAAACTCCGTGTTGCCTAGACCACGGCCTTGCCCAACACAAGTTATAAATTCGGGCACCGCCGGCAATCGAACCCGAGACCCCAGGATTACAAGGCCAGCGTTCTAACCGCTAGACCATAAATACCTGGTAACATCGTAACTTTGTAGACGTTTTGGCGTCAGTCATGTAATTCACAAAAATTTCGCTAATATCCTGAATGGAAAGCATGTGTCGTCGTCGACAGTCCACTCACCGAGAACGTCCTGTCGTTGAATCGGTAGTACTGGCCGCGTTTGAAGAAATACGTGTATCCGTTGGTGTACTGGAGGGCAGCGTCCAGGTTGTCGGGGATTCCCTCCCAGTTGGACAGAGGCTTCGGGTAAGTGCTCTTGACGGGCGGTTTCTGTGACGGGTCAAAGCGCCAGAACTTGCTTCCTGAAACGAGACGCGCGCCACAGCGAGATCAGAGCGAAGTTTGTAACAGGAAATTAGCGCGGGGATATTTGTGCAAGAAGACGATTGTCACGAGTCGGAGACCTTCATCAGGAAGACTTTAAATTTCTATAGTTGTCAGTTATTCTTAACGTCAGATGATACTAGGGATTTTTTTTGTTAGAAGAACTGGGTACACACACTGTCTCCAACTAAATAACCTTTTTAAGTTGATATAGCGTTGTTAGGTTCGTCCACTCTGGGCATTCACGTAGCTTCAAATAGAGGAATTATCAAAGGAGTAGAGTAATAAAAATTCCATTTCGGGGTCTGTACGTGATTTTCTGATTTCCTCTCAGCTGTGTCAGAGCTTAGACATCATCGCCCAATTTTCCGTCGTACGCAATCCTCGGTGGACAGCGGGTACTTATTTCAGCTGCTCAGAAAATAATTTCCTCCTGTCACGAGATTACAAACAGCGATCTTCCAGGCGAGCGGGAGTAGCAAAACGGACAATTTATGGCAACTGTAGCCATGAAATCTTCTGTCTGAGGCCGAGTTCAGAACTTCACTCACCCTTAAAGAAATATATCTTCCCATTTCCGCTCCACACGACAGCAGCGTCTACGTTGTCAGGAATTCCTGTGAAGCCGTCCGAGATCTGCTTGGGGTAATCGCCGTCCACCTTCTTACCAACATACCGCCAGTACTGGGAACCTTTGAAGAAGTACGTCTTTCCGTTCCGATAGGTAAATGCGGCATCGATATGTCCTGGGAGGCCTTGCCAGCTCCTGGAGATGGTCTTCGGGTATCCGGCTGCAATACCGTCATCCGTCAGCTTCCAGTAGTGGTCACCTGCCAACAGCCACATTTGGTTACCATCTCTCACTACACCATTCATTTATAAGACTAATTTTAATATTATCCTCCCATCTATGCCTAGGTCTTCGGCGTTAACTTCCCCCGAGTGTTTTCGACCAAAAATTTGTGCGCGTTTCTCATCTTTTCCTTGTACGTTTGCAAAAAAAATGTTTTAAATTTCGTGGTTTTTAAAAATTCCTTCGCCAGGTACGTTTAAACTCGTGGATTTCCCCGCCACTGCCGACCTTCTGAAAGGCTGAGCTGGAAGTATTGCCTACCCTTGAAGGCGTACGTTACTCCTTCCGCAGATCTGAACACTGTGTCTACGGATGCATCATTACAAAGCTCAGCGTCTTCGCCGGACGGGACAGAAGATTCTGTTGTAGTCGTCTTGACACCAGTCGACATAGGAGTCTTGCTCGCTTTCTTGCCGTACAGGGCCTGGATGCCTTGGATGTCGTCCACATCCAGCTGGAAGTGCGGTTCATAGCCCCGATAAAAGGGGGCCATCAGCGCCGTCTTCACATCCGAGTGTGAGAGCCCAAGTGAGTGGCCGAACTCGTGGGCAGCAACTTGGAACAGGTTCGTGCCTGAAGAAAAACACGTGAAAATTCAATTGAAGTTGAAGAAACGTCGGACTTCATCGAGGTTCGAGCCTGAACGCTGTGTGACAAGTGAACGGAAATTAAAGAAATTGTATTTGGTCTGTGAAAATTATTTTATGAGACGTGAAAGCTGTCCGGACGTCAAGAACTCGATCGGAAATTCCTGTGCACGGATTACAGAAATTTGTTGATGATATTTTAACTGCTACATTATTTTTTCTCTCGCTGCAAAGCACAGGGAAATGGAAAGATTTTATTTGTCGATATTTCGCACGCACTGCGTAGGAAGACGGGAGAGGCGTTACGCATCGCACGTACCTCTGTAGCTGCCGATGGACCAGTTCTCTGCGTCGTCGAAATGCGCGTCTCCTCCGTACACGGGGAAGTAAGCGTGTGCCAAGGTTCCGCCGGGTCCATCGAAAGGATCGCCATCTCCGTGCTCTCCCTTCTCAAATCGAATTTCGATGTGAACCTGGCCCTTCGTCTTCCTGACGAACGTGAGATCCGTTTGATCCGCCCAAACTTGGAAAGCCTTGGCGAGCTCAACGTCCACTTTTCCGTGGTCCAGATTCTTCGGATACTTGGCGATCTTGTAAGACAGCTCCTTCACTCGCCACCGACTGCCTGTGTTGACAAAATCCACAGTCGTGCATGACATTTGAGTTTCTCACGGCGCCGAGGTGTCGGAGTCGGTCATCCGGGTTGTGACGCCGCGTGGACTTGTAGGTGGACACCATACTGCCGCCATCTTCAGCACAAAAGTTGGAGGCGGTACGTTCCTTGTTCTTCCCAAACTTCGGTCTGCACCTACAAATCCACACGGCGCGACAACCCGGATGACAGCCATCTTCTATTCCTGTTTGTAAGCCTCTAAGGCGTTCAACGGGGAACAAGAATGACGTCGGTACGCCCTGGAACACTACAACCGAATCTGGTAAAGTAGTTGACAAGACACAATACAAAGGCGGAGAAATTTTAATTCTTGAAATCGGATCAGGCCAGGATTAGTCCATGTTGATTTATTTTTACGAGTGGTTCTGCATCTCGAGCCATGACGAGCGCAGAGGAAGGACGCAGTCGTCAGATATCAAGGAACAATCCTGGACGTACTGAGACCTCAGTTGGTACGCCAGCTGGTATTCGAACCTGCCACGGTAGGAGAGATATCTGCTGGCCGATACATCTTGGCGGAAAGTAACGCGGAGGAATTGGCTGCGTCTCTGTACACTTTGCTAACTTTATTTTGGAGATAAACAGACGATGCAGTATCGCTCGGAAATGTTAATTGAATCTGTGTTTTTTTTAATAAACGGATATGCGCGGACCGTGACGTCGTGCCATGGTAATGACCCTCCCTCCGTGATACGAAGGTCACATCGTTTGTGCCACTGTGGAACGCAGATGTAACTATAAAGTGAAATGCATCTCAATGTGATCGGTATACCGAAAACTGGTTTCAAGTGACGGCTAACAGAGTTTAATTAACTGTAAGAGTTGTTTAACAGCATTTTATATTGGCGACCACGAAGGAAACTTTAGCAAAAGACGCCGATACGGGCGTTCTTTAATGTGGATATTATAAATTTAATAGATTCCTCCACCAGAAGGAAATCTTCAGTTTCACTGGAATGGTCGCTGTTCATCTTTTGTCTTAAACACAAGCGAGATACTCGAAAGAAATGTTCATTTACTGACGTCAAAATTAACGATAACACGAAATTACAATGGCCTTCATTTTTTACGTCAGGATTTTATTACACCCGCGTAGAAGCAGCTGCATTGTTTTCTGCCTTAATATCAGTGCGGAACCATCATTAGTGGAGTCACAGCTGTGGAACCTCAGTTTTTCCTTGACGTTCAAGGTCTCCTCGACCATTGCCGAGTCTTTGCATACGTATAATGTTCTTCCGGGATATTCAGAAATTTCGTGTTTGCGGTAACTGTTCTGAATCCGGAAACTGATGAAAAGAATTTTAAAGAGTTCAGTGTTATATAAACACAATGACCTTGCCGGCTAAACCGTCATGTGATAGATGAGATACGAGGTCACACAGGCATTTTCAAAAGCGAGGAATCCAGCGTGATTCAAAACACAATGCAGAGACCTTACAACAGAACGCCGGTATTTCAAGTTTAGGCTGTTATTCAATGAAGAGATAAATAATGAAACTAAATGTCATTTAAAATAGGCCCAGTAGTGAAATTTCGAATTATCTCGAGTGTGTTGGTTCCACACGAAATTATTTTTTAGGTCGGTGTGACACCGTCAGTTTCCCAACGCATGTACCGTAGTAACTGCGAGTTCCGATGGTTTTTCTTCCAAATTTTGATCGGACCCTTTGTCCTCTGCACCAGAGCCTCTCTCAGAAGAATAATATTTAATGTAATGTGATGATAGGCAGTCTCCGGGTCGGGATCTGAAGCCCGTGCCTTGTATCGCGGACCGTGAGTGATAGTTTCCTTGCACCGGGTACTCAGTTACACCTCGGCTGTTTTATCCAGAGGCCAGCCAAGGTTTCCGAGGTCATCGCCGCTCACGTCATTGCCAACAAATGCGTCCCATCATCACATCATCACCGCGGTGAGAAAGGATTCTCGTTTTCTGTGCTTCAGAACGTGATTGACGGACGAGTCGCGCATGTAAACAAACAGTGGCTGATCTGCAGGAGGAACTCCGGTCCATTGCCAGTCACAGCAGGAAAGAAGGTCGGGTCCAACCGGAAGTTATCGGCTGATTGTTACCGGCCGCATGTAAGCCGTTCAGAAGGCCAAGCTGGATAGGTTGTCACGTGACATACCTCACACCGCACGGCGGCCATCATGGGTGTTCGTCGTATTATTGTTTTAAATAAATCCAGACGAAGGACTCTGGCACTAAACGTCGTCTTTTTAGATTTGTATTTGTTGCAAGTGAAATCGCATTTTTCATAAAGATATTTCAGTGAGCTCTTGCGAAACGAATCTCGCACAGAAAATTACTTCAGTTAAAAATTACAAGGTTTTAACATACATCGTATTCCACGCACCATATTGTGCGCGATGAATCGTTTATGAGACATTACATTCGATAAAGATCGATTTCAGGTTCATATAATACCAGAACAAAATTAAATTCGTGTTTCGTGAGCACATTTAATCGAAATCCGTGTTTGTCTTTAGCATAAGATGACAGGAGGACGGATTCACAGCTGCAACCTCTCCATTACGCGTTCAATTTGCTTACCGAGTTCAAATAACTGATAATTAGTGTACATTACGCGACATAAAACATCCGAAACAAAGGCTGGAACGTTCTTTTTTTTAGACTGTCTTCAAACCACACAGTGGGACAGCATAGGGGGCGTGGAGGAAAGCTGTTGACACTGGACTGAACCAAGCGGTCAGTTTCACATTTCGGTCAACTACCACCCTGTAAAATGAATCTATCGTTGTGAATTTAAGTGGTTTAATCTGAGGTTTGCGTTGGACAAATTGGTATTGGAGCAATTGTTCCAGGATCAGTACAGAGTTGCAGAAACACGAAGCACCTGTCACATTGGACGTTGAGTTAGTTATTCCTTCTTTTACCTTGCAAAGCGTATCTCTTGCTGCGGGAGTCGCTGGCGTAGCCCACCTTGTCTCGCACCCCGCACCGGGGCAAGCTCATTGTCTCCGCTGTCTCGCGATCCAGTTCGCCTGCAATAAAATCAGCACACCCTGTAGATTATTTTATGATTATATCAGATAACGTCTTTTAACTTAATCAGAGGGCTTGGCCTTGTTCCTCCGCCATTATTACAGTCCCCCAATGGAACGTGGTCTGTCCAGAAAATTTCGATTCTCTTCCGTCAGCAATTTGGAGAGCAGGTCCTCCAAAATTGCTCATGTAGACACAATGCAAACCTCACGTATGAATAATATTGGCAACTGGCAACACTGGTAGTGTTTTGTGTTGGCACTCCCATCACGTCCAAAATGACGAGCCACTCCCGCGACTGTTTTACGCATTTCGCCTTGCCGGTGGACAGGCAGGCAGCCTGTGACACAGTGCGGTCAACAACTCCGTTCTCAAGGCGCGGCAAATGTCTTATTCGCCTCGTTTTGACTAAGCGACGTCACAACCCCGACCCCCCACGAAATGTTTCATTTCTGTTTTGAATTCTGATGCAAAATTATTCTGTACTTCATTCGTGCTTGCGTGAAAAGTTTAAATTTAAATACGGGTGAGTAGAATTTAATTTTGGAACGGATCACATTGTGAACTTTGTTCATGGGTTCGCAAATGTACGGGAGAAATTTCGACAAACAAACAAACAAACAAACTCTTGTCTGCTCGCTCTGCTGTTTCCTGTGGACGAAGGTACAGTCTGTGGACGTTACCTGTGATGTTGAGCCCGGCGAATGCCTGGAACTCGATGATGGCCTTCTTCATGGTGTCGGCTGCAATGATTGTACCGGAACTTGGGTTCCGGACCTTGGGATTCAGGTAGCCAAATTGTGACAAATAGATCTGCAACAGGGAAAAGTTACGTGGCGTTAATCCATGTCTTGAATACGTAAGTTTACGTTTGGAGACGGCCGTCTTCAAGGGTCGTTGCGCCGTGTAGTCTGGTACACGTTTGCCGACGTTCCAGAGGTACTTTCTGCCTCCATCATCGGGGAGATGAGTGATCACTCATCGCCCTCATGATGGAGGAAGCAAGTATCTCCGAAACGTCCGTAAACTTCTACCAGACTACACGGCGCAACAATCCAGACTCATCTCCGTGAAAACCTCAAATACTCCATGGTGATCATTTGCTGTTAAGTGGTTTTCACTTGGTGGAATAGCTAATAGTTATTAATTGTGTTGAGGGATTTTGAACCTTGAAGGATAATATTCATGATTGTGTGTTCACTGCAACAGATGTCACCCGATTTCTTGACGGGAAATTTATTAGCATACCATATACATTTCAACGCACAGACTTAATCATGCAACCAAGAATAGTAAAGTTAGTTGTAGGATTTGCAAGTTCAGCGCAACTCATTAAATCTCTCTCTCTCCACTGACCTTCTGTTTCGCTCGTCATTAGAAATACTTGCAACTACCCGGGGCTAAGAGCCCCGAACTGTGAATATTACTCCAAAGTGCACTAAAATGGACGTGTTTCATCAAGGAATTAAGTGTCAGCTCCGGGTTTAAGAATGAAATGCGCAGATCGTTACAGCGTCTGGTCGCTTTGTGTAATTATGTCGCCGTTATCACATAAGAACGAAAATTATCTCACGCCTTGTTTTATGATGTAACGGCGTGACGGGGGTTTTGCCGTGAGATTAGTTAATCTGCTCTTGAAAAATGTTATGAGGAAACGCTGAATTGAAGATAATTGTCATCCGAGATTTTGCGCCGTATATTCTGGTCGCCCTGATGATGGAGGCATTAAGCGCCTCTTAAACGTCGGCGAGGTCAGTTTCTACCAGACTTCATGTCGCATCATCCCAGAAGACAGTCGTAGTCATGATCGTCGCCGTCAGAACCTGAAATTCCACAAGTTATTCCAGGATCTGGTCCTGGGTTAGAAACCGAAATCTGTTTTGTCGGAGGCTGCGGTTTCTCCCCCCTCGCCCTTGTAAGATGTAACTGAATATCTTCATCTTTCACGAAGAATCACCTCCTGATTGTTCCGACCATTTATTTGATATCAATCGATCTATTGTATGTTCATTCAGCGATGCTCTACCAACTGCTTAGTTGTGTAGTGTCGATAATAATTACCACGAAGGAAGGCTTAAATCGTGGGTCCTGAATAATCGAATTTTATTCAGAAAAGTTGAATAAACTACGAACGAGTCACCATTCAGATGAAACTACCTGAATCACCTCTGCTGTTGTCACGCAGTCGCTAAATTAGCCAAGAGGGAGTACTCGAGTACCCGGACCATAAGTAACTGGCCAGATACGAACCGGGTGCTCTCACTTTGTATCGGCTGGGACGGTGAGGAGTTGTGATTGACGTAAGTGTTCTGAGTGGGGGGTGGGGGGGGTGATACAATTGTAATCTTGCACAATAATTCCCTCCTGGGTGGTTCTTCACTTTGTCTACACGAAAGCAAATAATAAAACGCCTACAACCGTGTAAGTCACGTGTCTCCTTCAGATAAGTTTTGAAAGAATTACATCCAGAGCGCTTCCTGTGTACCTGCGTACTCAGGCCTTCACGTGACCCTCGGGATGAGGAGGCCGTCCTCAGATCCCCTTAACACCCGCCGAAGTGTTTCGGGCATCCCCGACCACTGCCCAAAGCAAATATCCTGCTTTCTTTCTCAATAGATTCTCTCTGTTGCTGGCCTCTTCAGCATCAGACCCCAAGCGAATGCGAGGAAGAACTCAAGCCTCGGTGGAAAAGATGCTCGCTGCTCGCGTGATGCCAGGGGCAGGAGATGGAACTGAGGCGTAGGACGAGCAATTTGAACGGAATGCGCCTCGAAATGGAGAGTGGGACGTTCAACGAGACCGACACACAAATTCTTGCTCGAACCCGTTTTCCGCGTGATTGAGCAGCGTGAAACTATGTCAGCAGGGTCGAATGAAGTAACGTTGGACTTGCACTTTCTCGGTGTGATGCAAGGGGCTAATAGCCTGGACTCTTAAGACTTTTTCTCATTAAAATACAAATCCTTCTGCGTTTTGACAGTGAGCGGATTAATTAAGAGGTGCCACCAGCCACGGAACTTGGTTAAACTCTGCCGAAGTTTCGAGACCCATCTCTGTTCTCAATTTCAACGCTAGTTGCTGGCCCGAGAACATTTTATTCAAGAGGTCACGTGTCTGACTCGCATTCAGGGGACAGTAGGATTGAATTTAGGTCTGGATCTAATGTCCGAGTTTCTTTCTCATTTTCGTTTTAAAACCGTGGCCTCTGAGTCCTTAATTTCAGAATAATTTATAATAAACGAATAAACGTGTGTATATTTAACTGTTAAAAAACAATTGATAAAGAAAACACAACACTTCTCCATGACAGGGATGGATTGGTTGTTGGTGTTCAGAGAAGTGGTCTGTGGACAGATTGCAGAGTTACTGATGGTTAAAGCAGGTGGTAAGTGCAGTTACCACTGTCGTATAAACGGTTGAGTCACTTGGGCAGAGAGCTGTAAACATCGTTCGACAGCACCGCCACATGTGCGAGAGGAATTCGTCGTCTTATTAACATTCCGAGAACCACTCGCCATTGTTCGCAACGCGGGGTCCATGAACCGGAAATTAGGCTGGAAAGCAATTATGAGAAATTGCCGTCAGTTGACCTTGCCGTACTGACTCTGCCGCTCCTCCAGGTACACACTTCGAATCTCGAGCGGGCCATTTGTGGCAGCGACCTCAAGACATCGGCACAGTCGATTTGCGCCGTCTCGGGATGAAGCCCTGGCGATGATCGCACGTGAAGGTCTGAAGCGTGGACTCCCCCGTAGTTTTGAGCCCACTTAACGAGTCGGGTTGTCGATCCTTTCGTGTTCTGTGCCAGTTCGAACCCCAGCACGGGCTTATCTTATTGGTCTGCTGTATGCAGCACGTACAGTCTTGAGCTGTTACAGCCTCGTAACGGAATCCGTCACGTCTCGTCCGTGACCTCTACGAAACTTGCGTCAGGAAGGCACGTACTCCGGGGAACAACTATCCCAGTGCACCGCCCTACTTCAAAGGATGCTAACAAACTAACAAACACACCAGAGACCTATTGATGACGTATACACAAGATCCTCAGCGGGTGAACTATGAACTGCACCAAAGGCATACGTCATCATTGTCAGGCTAGAAACGTGGTCCAGTGGCGAGAGGTGCTATCAGCTCGATGGAGTTGGTACATATTTACGTACATACGCGGGGCTGTGTTTAAATTGTATCTGTTATATCTGAAACACACCTGAAGTGACTACATCTCGTTTCCGTCGTATTATATTTAGCTATCTGTGGCATGTTTAATCCTTCAAATGGCAGGAACTGTGGATTTGTACTTGTGTGTTTCTTACGATTTCCGCATTAAACAGCGATTATTTCCTTAAACGGCGTTAACCAGTTGATCTTTGTAATGGTGAGTCGTTGTGTTTTCTTCGCGGTACGGACTGGATTCTTAAATATTATTCAGACGAGCTTCGGCTTCGAAGGGTTAATTAATTATCAATAAAAATCTATTATTTCCTTAAACGGCGTTAACCAGTTGATCTTTGTAATGGTGAGTCGTTGTGTTTTCTTCGCGGTACGGACTGGATTCTTAAATATTATTCAGACGAGCTTCGGCTTCGAAGGGTTAATTAATTATCAATAAAAATCTATTATTTCCTTAAACGGCGTTAACCAGTTGAACTTTGTAATGGTGGAGAGTAGTGTTTTCTTCGCGGTACGGGCTGAATTCTTTAATACGAGTATTAATCAGACGAGCTTCGGTAACTCAGAGTTTAAGGATGTGGAAGGAAGCTGTTGTGACCTAATTTGAGGCAGATACCGGAGTATGGTTGAAGGAACCGGAAGCCAATCTGCGGATTGAGTTTCTGGGACCTCCCGGATACTTTGGAGTATCAACCGCTCGAATCTGGCATCCGGTTCTCTGCTGTCCGCTCGTGCACAGCGTCGGGGGGAGTTTCGGTAGTTCTCGTTATCAGAAAGCTCTCTTTAAAATGCGATAACTTGTTTTGAAATGCGTTTCTGCGCTGAGTCACCGCACGCGTTCCACCACGCAGTGACTACGCCGTTCGAAATCGCAAGAATAAATTGCCCGATTCTCTGAACGATGATCTAAGAAAAATTATATCAGATCACTCAGGCTACCTCATCCAAGTACGTTCGTTTTCTTTGCAGCTAAGCACCACCTGATCGCAAGACCGGGGGTACCTCTTTCAAGTCTCGTCCGGTTCATGCGCTGAATCCTTTCCTGCCTTGGGATGCCGTGACAAGCATCCTCCGGTGTCCGGGCATCAAACCCCGAGGGCGTGTAGCGGAGTCCTTCCTGGGAAGCTGATAGTCCCCGCCTTCTGTACAATTCTGAGGGTCATTACTGCGTTCAAAAGAGTCCACAACTTGGTCCGATGCTGAGCCAGTTGAATCCAGTTATCACATCACACAAGATGACAGCCTGTTGAGGAGGGTAAGATAATCACATGGCACGTGGCCTCAGGCACAGGGCCAGTGACCTGCAAGATGTCTTTGTTTGCTTTTGTTTCAATGCTCTGCCGTATTCTTATCGCCTTGGAATTTGTTCTACGGGCGCTGTTATGACGTACTGAACCTTCAGATTTCCTTCCGCACATCCAGTCGTTCGGCAAGGTGAAAAGGTTGTTATGAATTTTTGTCTTCATTCGTTTCTAATTCCTACGTCAGCTTGTCTTATTCTCAGAGGCATCACGGAAATGACTAGAAATTATCCTTTCAGTTCAACGACAGTAAATATATTTATCCGTGAACGTGTTTGAAGGGTAATGTGCGTTGAGTAATTATGAACGTCAGTTTAACTATATTACGTCCATTGCCTTCAT